GGGCCGTCCCGTGACCCCCCCTCTGCCCAGCCTCAATGGCACCCGTGTCACCTGCCTGGGAAGGCACCTCGCCGCCGACGGGAACTGCAGCATGACGCCTGGTGAGAGCCAAGCCCACCGCTGGGGGCGCAGTACCAGCTCCGGCCAGCAGGGGCCGCACTGTGCAGGGCAGGGGGTCCCTACCAGCTGGGCAGGGCATGGCCCATGGCAGCAGAGTTGGTGCCCAATAGATGGGGGGATGGGAGGAGTGAAGGAGGGTGAGGCCTGGAAGTCCGGGAACTGCAGCATGACGCCTGGTGAGAGCCAAGCCCACCGCTGGGGGCGCAGTACCAGCTCCGGCCAGCAGGGGCCGCACTGTGCAGGGCAGGGGGTCCCTACCAGCTGGGCAGGGCATGGCCCATGGCAGCAGAGTTGGTGCCCAATAGATGGGGGGATGGGAGGAGTGAAGGAGGGTGAGGCCTGGAAGTCCGGGAACTGCAGCATGACGCCTGGTGAGAGCCAAGCCCACCGCTGGGGGCGCAGTACCAGCTCCGGCCAGCAGGGGCCGCACTGTGCAGGGCAGGGGGTCCCTACCAGCTGGGCAGGGCATGGCCCATGGCAGCAGAGTTGGTGCCCAATAGATGGGGGGATGGGAGGAGTGAAGGAGGGTGAGGCCTGGAAGTCCAGTGCTTGTATCCAGGGGGAGGGACCAGGACACGGTGGGTGGGGCTAGCATCGAAGGGGAGGGGCCAGGATGCTGTATGTGGGGCAAGCCCCAAGGGGGAAGGGTTGGACAATAGAGGGGGGTTAGCACCATGCAACTCCACCCAAATCAATTCCCCAATGCTCCCCTCCAATGCTCCTCCCCCCAGAGGCGCCCTCGGGGGTGTCTCTCTCATTCCAGGCCTCCCGGGAGCCTGGGGGCTGGGTGCTGCTGGAGCTGCGGTGCCAGGGCACGTACCGGCCTGTGGAGATCTCCCCCCTGGATCCCCGATCTGCTCCCTGGATGCGGTGGTCAATGGCACAGCCCTTCGGTTCCGCTGCTCCTGGGCCGGGGGCTCCCCTACCCCCACCCTGAGTCTGCAGGGGCTGCCAGGGGGAGAGGAGCAGGGGGTCGGCTCTGCTCTGGAGCATAACCCACTGGGCTCGCAGGAGAGTAACCTCACGCTGACAGGTAGGAACCCAGGAGTCCTGGCTCCCAACCCCCCTGCTGAAACCACTAGTCCCCACTCCCTTCCCACCCCAACCCCTCCCTCCAACGCTCCCTCCTCCCTGCAGGTCCTGCCATCTCCAGCTGGAGCCTGGGGCGTGACTCGGAGCCCAGCTCTGCCTGGCTGAGCTGGGTTGTGCCCGAGGGCTCCGTGGTCACCGAGTTCTGGATCCAGGTCCAGGGGACCTTGGGAGGCCGGGCGGCAGGGGAGTGGCAGACGCTGCAGGCACTAGGGGGCGCCAAGCCCTCCAGCACCGTGGGGGGGCTGCAGCCTTACAGCTCCTATTCCTTCCGCCTGCTGCCCCTGCTGGGCACCCAGGCTGGGGAGCCCAGTGGCACACAGACGCTCCCGCCAGGTGAGTGAGAGGGCAGGGCAGGATGCCTCGGTTCTTTTCCCAGCTCTTCGAGGGGGATGGGGGCTAGTGGTTAGAGCTAGGGGAGGGATCTGTGAGCCAGGACCCCTGCATTTTCTCCCTGGCACTGGTAGGGGTGTGGGGTCCAGTGGTTTGATCAGGGGAAGTGGGGAGAGGGGACAGGGACTCCTAGGTTCTCTTCCTGGCTCAGTGAGGGGAGTGAGGGCTAGTGGTTGGGGCGGGGGCTGGGAGCTAGGACGCTGGGGTTTCCTCTGTCTCCCCTTTCTCTGCAGCCTCTACCCTGAGCCCCGGCGCCATTGCGGGCATCGTGTTGGGCTCGATCCTGGGCATGATCCTGATCCTTGCCCTCCTCGTGTTGCTGATCTGCTTCCTCCGGGCACGGTGGGGTGAGTCTGAAACCCCCTCCCACCCCACAGCCTGCAGGGAAAGGGGGCCTGGGACAGGATGTGCTGCTCTTAGCCAATCAGAGCCAAGGGGAAAACTGCTAAACTGGTTCCAGCCAATGGGAGGAAGGGCTGCTCTTCTCCAATCAAATGCAAGGATTGGAATCACTGCTCTGCCCTTGGCCAATCAGAAGACAAGAGGGGATGGCGTTGCTAAAATATGGCCTGACCAATCAGACCTGGAGTGGTTAGTGAATTGATCCTAGCCAATCAGGTGCAAGGGGTGGGATCATCCCCAGGGTTTCAGCAATCAAATGGCAAGGGTGGAGTAACCATAGGCCAAACAGCTGACAGGGGCAGAACAACGCGCCAGCTCTCAGCCAATCAGATGCGAGAATGGACTCATTGACCTCCACTCCCCAATCAGGTAGAAGGGCTGTTGTCATTGGCCAGTGAGCAGCAAAGGGTCTTGCTTCCATTGACCAATCCAAACACAGTGGCTCTGTCCTTATCCAATTGGAGTTTGGAAGGCAGGACCCAGCTTCCAGCACCAGTCAGACTTCACAGGTTCAGCTGGGGGTGGGGCTGGTACCAGCCAATCAAAATTCAGGGATATGGGGGGGTGGGGTGCCCTGGCTCCAGCCAATGGGAAGCAAAGGAATCAGTCAGTGATCTTACCAGCGGCCAATGAGAATTGAGTGTTTCTGGCACCAGCCAACTGGGCTCTTTCTCTCCATCAGGAAAGAGGGAGAAGAGGCCCATGACTCCGCCAGGCACCCGCCAGCATTACCTGCCCCGCCAGGTGCGTGCAAGGGGGCGGGGCCATCTGTGGGCAGAGCCCAGGGGTGAACTCTACTGCCCGTGACTTGCCCGTGCCTCAGTTTCCCTGTCCTGAGGCTCACGGCGCGTCGCTCTGTTCTAGTTCCCCAACGGGAGAGAGTCAGACCCCATCGAGCCCCCAGCCTCGCCCGCCTGGGGGTCCCCACGCTGCTCCTGGGGCCAGGGCAGCCTGTTCTACATCAGCTACGAAGAGCATCTGCGCATCCATGGCCCCCCCGCCTCCTGGGTAACTGCACCCCCAGGTTATAGGCTACCTTGTCCACTGCAGCATGGCGCTCCCTATAGACCTCCACCCTGCAGCATGGCCCCTATAGATCCCCCAACCCCTGCAGCACAGCCCCCACTATAGATCCCCACCCCCTTCTGCACAGTG